AGCGGTGGAGCTAGGATGTTAACACAGCGTGGCTGACTCTAAAGCGCATGTTCTTCCCACCCCATCGAGCTGTCTGGACTTACAGGAGTTCCACTCCAATCCGTGCATGAAGGAGAGACATCATAAAGCTTCGATTCTATCAGGCCAGAAAGACCTTGAACCACATCAAGACCTGCAAAAGGAGCCACATGGTAGGCTGGGGATTTAGCTCTTCTCAGATGTCCAAAACACAGGCTTTTCTACCTTGAGCGTGATGTCCCCTGATCATGCCCCTCCAGAACCCAATCCAGCACAGGCTCTGGCCAGCGTGTGTCCTTCAGAGTCAGAAAAGGAGGGCTCCACATGCATCGCCTTCCAGGAGAGTACTTTCTGTCTCTTTTACTCAAATACTATGTCTCACCCAACAGTCTGCTCCTCCTACTTTCAAAGGTTTGCTTTCTCTACTGAAAAAAAAGCAGAGAAAAATGAAGCCACTGACTAACCAAAACAGGATGTTTTACCTTGATAGAAAAATCAACAGGTCCCCAGGACATGCGCCCCTCCTGAAAGAGCAGGTTTCTGAACCAACCATCCTCCCCAAACTCACCGTCTGGAGAAAGTTCCCGCAGACAACAATATACCATAGAACAGAAACGGCTGCTCAGAAAACCTCTACTGAGACAACGGGCCGTCACGCCACAGCTGCTTGGGTAAAGCTGATTCCAGTGCACCTGTCGGCAGAGATGCCAAGCCATGAGCCACACAGGTGGGACAGGCTACCCGAGGCCCCTGGGTATACATCCTGGGTTCTGAGTTCCGTTCCTGCTCAGAACTACTTCTTACTATCGAGTGTATCATAAATTTATCAGACAAGACCGTAACTGCTTCAGTTTACAGAGCGTCTGCATTTTTGTCAAGAAAACGTTTTGAACAGCAGCATCTCAGATCTTAACGCTGCTGTTTTACAGCAGAAACTGCAGTCTGTAATACATATAAGTATACATCACCCGTGTTGATGAAAGGAAGAACACTAAATAATCCCAGAGGGACAATTCAAGGTTACACATACAGCTTTGGAAAGTGTCTTTGCCATGTCAAGTCTCCCCAATTCAGTAAGGACATTTTCTATTCCTTAACAAGCCACACTAAAGCTCAGAAGAACCTAAAAAGCTGCCTTGTTCTCCCACCCTACGGCTCTGCTCAGCCCCTTCCCAACTCCCATCCATGCTTCAAGATTGAGACTAATGCAAGCTGCCCAAAGCAGAGACCATTTTCCTCTAAAGATGATGGATCTACCTTCCTCTAAGACAGAGAAGATAATCATTTTGGTATCAAAGATCTGCTCTTCGAAGATTTGAGTTAAAGTAAAGATCCATTTCATATCAACCTGCATTTCATTAAACAAAATTAGGTGACACCCCTAGTAAGAACTTGACAGCAAGATGTTAAGGTTGATTGCATATTTTTTCAAATGCATCATTAATCAAGCACCTAAGCCATGTATGTAGCATGTAGAGTTACACCAAACTCTGTGGTTGGCAATATGCCACAATCCTATCCAGGTGAAGGGACCCCAAGAGGAGATACAAATGTGACCAGCAAAGGGACAATGATCTCCCGGCAACAGCCAAAGCAATTGGGTTTAAGCACTAAAAACTAGTATTAGAAGAAGGAACTGAGCAAGAAAGTAATGCACTCTTCACCCATTTATTCAGCAAATATCTGAGCACCTACTGTGTGCAATTTAAATAAAATGACCAAGGAGATGAAAGGGTTAACCACACAGATGTCTGAAGGAAGTGCTGTCCGCACACAATGAACACAACGCCACGGCCCATTTGTAGGACCTTGTGGGTCTTTGGAAGGACTCTCGCCTTTTACTGAGAGTCAGATGGGAAGCTACTGCAAGGTTCTGAGCAGAAGCAGGGGAACTACTACCCAGCCTTCATTTTGACAGGATCACTCTGGCTGCTGCGATGAGAACAGGGTAGATCAGGACAGGGTAGGTCAGGGAGATGAGTCAGGATTCCACTGCAATAACCCAGCTGAGAGGTGCTGGGGGCTTGGACCAGAGTGGAAGCAGTGGAGGTAGAAAGTGGTCAGACTGTGGACAGGTAGGTAAGAGGGCAGGGACAGCAAGATTTCTTAATGGATTGGGTACAAGTGAAGGAGAGCAGTTAAGAATGACTGCAAGGTCTTAGG